GTGATCGCGGCAGTGGACTTATTGATGCCCGGGTGTCCAGCAGTTATATTGTCATGGAACACTTTCATGATATTAACCCTTTCACATAGGGGAACGAACAGTTTATCACACGGTTTACCACTGGGCGCCTGAGGCTGGGCCTCCAGTATGGTGCCAAGCAGTGGAGAAGACAGTGAGAGGACAGTAGTAGCAATAATACACTCTGCTGGAATAATAGGAGATGTCATCTGTTCCGGAGCTGACTCATTATCAAATTGCCTGGACAAGGCATCAGCCTTGGTATTTTTAGAACCAGGTCTATAAGTAATGAGAAAGTTAAAACGTGAAAGGAACAGTGACCATCTAGCCTGTCTGGAAGACAAACGTTTGGCATCCCCTATATATGCCAGATTTTTGTGGTCAGTTATGATCAACAGGGGGTCCTTGGATCCCTCCAAAAGATGTCGCCACTCCTTGAGGGCAAGAATAATGGCCAACAGTTCTCTATTGCCAATATCATAGTTGCGCTCAGCAGGAGACATCTTTCTGGAGAAGTAGCCACAAGGATGCAATGGTGTTCCCTGGCTTTCTCTCTGAGAGAGAACAGCCCCTACCCCTGTCTCGGATGCATCAACCTCCAATATAAAAGGTTTACTGGTGTCAGGATGTTTTAGTATGTCCGCAGAGGCAAATCTTTGTTTAAGAGTCTCAAAAGCATTCACAGCCTCTTTGGACCATACCGTGCTACTAACCCCTTTGCGAGTCATATTTGTGATTGGGGCTATTACAGAAGAAAATCCCTTGATGAATCTTCTGTAATAGTTGGCAAAACCAATAAACCTTTGAATGGCTTTTAAACCAGAGGGTAATGGCCAGTGTAGTACAGCCTCTAGTTTTTTAGGATCCATTTGAAATCCCGATGCAGAGATGTTGTAACCCAAAAAGTGGACTTCAGGCTGGTCAAATATGCACTTTTCTAATTTGCAATAAAGTTTATTTTTCAACAACGTCTGCAGAACCTGTTTCACATGGGAGTGGTGAGTCTGAAGATCAGGGGAATACACCAAAATATCGTCCAAATAAACCAAGACAAATGAGTAAATGAATTCCCTGAGTACATCATTTATAAAGTCTTGGAATACGGCCGGGGCGTTGCATAACCCAAATGGCATTACCAGATATTCATAGTGTCCACTACGGGTATTAAATGCCGTCTTCCACTCATGATTCTCTTTAATTCTAACCAAATTGTAAGCGCTCCTAAGGTCAAGCTTAGTAAATACTTTAGCTCCCTGAAGTCTATCGAACAATTCGGAAATGAGTGGAATAGGGTATGCATTTTTTACAGTGATTTTATTAAGTGCCCTGTAGTCTATGCAAGGGCGTAACTCACCACCCTTTTTCTCAACAAAAAAGAATCCTGCACCAGCTGGTGAGGATGACTTTCTTATGTGCCCTTTGCTCAAGGATTCTTTGATGTATTCCTCCATTATTTTACTCTCCTGGGGAGATAAGGCATAAACTGCCCCCTTAGGTGGCATAGCGCCTGGAAACAGGGTAATGGCACAGTCATATGCTCTGTGGGGAGGCAATACATCGGATTGAGCCTTGTTAAACACCTCCTGAAGTTCTCGGTATTGTATGGGAACTCCAGGAGTTTGGGGAGTGGTAGTGGGAAGGTCAATAGTATCCAATCTCTTTAGTACTGGTTTTATACATCTCCCCATACACTCTTTACCCCATTCTAATATCTCCCCATTAGCCCAGTCAATATAGGGATTGTGCTTACTCAGCCACGGAAACCCTAATATGATAGGACATGATGGAGAAGTACCTATGGGAGGCCCCAATGGAGATCGTAATAGGGACAGTTTCGTGGGTTATAAGCGGTTGTGTGAGTGGTCTACCATCAATAACCAATACAGCTAGCGGCGTAGGTCTCTCCCTGACCGGTATCTCATTACCCCTAATAAACTGGACATCAATAAAATTTCCAGCAGCACCTGAGTCCATTAGGGCACTGCAAGAAAACTTCTTGTTATCAAGGGAAATAGATACCTCAAGGAGGAATCTACTTTTGTTTTTGTTAGAGGACAACTCCATCACACCTAAGATCTGTCCCCTTAAGGTTCTTAGGTGCGGAAGTTTTCCGGACGCACTGGACAATTAGTTATCATATGTCCCTTTCTACCGCAATATAGGCATAACCCCTCCCTTCTCCTATACTGTTTTTCGGCCTCTGACAGTCTAGTGACCCCCAACTGCATAGGTTCGGGTTCGGACTGTACAGGGAGGTTAGACAAAACAGGTTTAGAGAATTGAGGTGCTACAGACATAGCCGTACGTCTGGTCTTGCTTCTGGTGACTTCTCTGAGTCTTAACCTATTATCAATATGCATGACAAACGTAATAAATTTGTTAAGACTCTTAGGTAATTCTTTAGCGGCTATCTCATCTAGTATAGTCTCTGAGAGACCCTTTTTGAATGCTGAGATTAACCTATTGTTAGTCCAGTCTACCTCGGAAGCTAAGGTACGGAATTCAATAGCATAATCCGAGATAGACCGGTTACCTTGTCTGATGTGCATTAGGGCAGTGGAGGCGTCATCCTCTCTACCCAATGGCTCAAACGTGAGCTTGAATTCGGCAAGGAATTCCTGGTAATTATGAGTTATGCTCCGATTACTCTCCCACAACGGATTAGCCCAGGCAAGGGCCTTGCCCTTTAATTGATTCATTAGATAACCAATTCTTGCTCTGTCCGTGGGGAATGACCCTGGTGAGGCCTCAAAATAGTACTCCACCTGATTAAGAAAACCCCTGCATTCCTGGATATTGCCATCAAACTGTAGGGATGGTGATAAGGAGATGCAAGGAGTCCTATTAACAGTGGGTGGAGGTACACAGGGTAGAGGTGCTATAGGAGGAGACGCTGCAGGCTGCAGATGCTCCGTTCTAGCGAGAAGCGTACTTAAAGCCTAAGTGAATTGATCCATGCGATGATCATTCTCCTCTAATTTCCTCTCGCAAGCAGCTATGTGCTGACACAGTTCTACAGGATCTATGGCCTGTCGTAATGTCAGGATTACTGTTTGATCCAGCACGTAGAACTGTACAGCATGGATGACAAATAAGTAACGTATTACCGGTCCTTAGAATGGCCGGATTTAACGTACAAAGAATAGTCAAAAATACTAGCCGAGGTCAGGGAACACAGAAAGGGACACAGCGATGAGGAAAACCAGGAGTCAGGATACCAGAATATAGAGAAGTCAATAAACAAAGCCAAAGTCAAAACCAGGTAGAAAACTATAAACAGGAACGCGCTCTCAGACAACCACAAGGGAAACCACGACAGGGCACTGAGCAGGCTGAGAACTGGGCCTAAATACCCCTCCTTTAGTTCTGATAGGCTGTAACCGGCCTTTGACCCCAAAGTCAGTTACCAGGTTTCATTTGCATAATTGCTGCTCAGCATTAACCCTTCTGTGGATTAGGTTGCTGCTCGGCACAACTTTTCCTGTGTGGACAGTAAATGTCATTAATCACTTTTCTCTAAGCGGATGAATACATGACACCAGGTTTCATTTGCACAATTACTGCTCAGCATTAACCCTTCTGTGGATTAGGTTGCTGCTCGGCACAACTTTTCCTGTGTGGACAGTAAATGTCATTAACCACATTTCTATAAGCGGATGAATATGTGACAGGTGCTAGGCATTCTCTCCCAATGCATTTTGTTATCATGCTGACTCCCTCAGGAGACAAATGAATCTGAAGATTCTCAATTCCATGGTGTATATCATACCTAATGAAAAGAAGCCTCACCGTGCTATGGTCTTGATTTAAAATATTTGGATAAAATTTTCAAGTGATTTAATATTTTTGAATAAGCTTTTTAAAAAAAAAATTTCAAAGTATTAAACTATCAAAAGGGTTTAACAATATAAATATATATATATATATATATATATATATATATATATATATAAATCAAACTATTTCATTTTATTTTCTAAATATTAAATAATTTTAAAAGTTTATCCAAAATTATTAAATCATTTGGTGCATTTATCCAATAATATTAAATCAAGCCCTATATCTTTTAAAATGGCCATATTATTAAAAAAATTGCACTTTGTCTATGTTGATTTTAAATTTGAAGTTCTTTTTGAAATTTACTTTGAATAACCCAGCTAGTCTCTGTGATAACCTATGGTTTAGTCACCACTGCACCTTTCAGTTTGTTTTGCCTATCACTAACTGACACGTACCTTTGTGACAAACTCAACCATGTTTACTCTAAATCCATCAATTGTAGTAGAAAGGAGGAACATTTCATATTTTGTTTGCTTAGAAAATATGTTCCAGGGAGAATACATTGAGAAGTAGCTTGTTTCCTAATGAACATACTGGTGAGGTCAGTAGAGTAAACTGTGTTTTGCTTTCTTTATATTATTTCCTATCTCATGTACCAACAATGGATTTAGCAGCAGTAGTATCTCATCGCTCTGATATCTGGTTGTTGTATATTTTCTACAATACATCAAGAGTTTTCACTTGTATCATTTAGTCAGGTTGGTTGTACTGGTCAAATGTGCTAGTCTTCCAGTCATTGTAAAGGGAGTACAGAGAGACATCTGCAAAAATAAGAGCAAAGGACACCAGTTCATAAGGCAAAACTAAAAGTATCAATGCAGAGCTCCTGGATCTTTCATTGATCTTATTACTGCGTTCATTTGAACCTGTATTTTAAACAGAAGCCGACTTTAATCAGTAATCTATATTGTGGCTCATTGACCACCTTTCTAAAGGCAATACAGGAACCATGTGGAAGGCTTGAATAATTTTCACAATCACAAGAGAAAACCTATAGAACTTTTTGAAATACCTACTGGAAGAACTTCAATTCCACAGCACATATCCCTTCCTCTCTAATCTAGAATAGTAATGTCGCGAACCATTCGCGAACTTGCCGCGAAAGGTTCACCACGGGTCGCCACGAACCGTTCGCAGTGAACTCCGGAACACATCCCTGCCAATCTCCGAGACCCTCCCTCCCAGACCCTCCCACCTCCTGGACAGCATCCATGTTGAAGCTGCCTTCAACATGGATGCTGTCCAGGAAGTAGGAGGGTCTGGGAGGGAGGGTCTGCCGGAGATTGGCAGGGATGTGTCAGCTGACCAGAGTTCGCTGCGAACGGTTCGTGGCGAACCGTGGCGAAACGGTCGCGGCAAGTTCGCGAACGGTTCTCGACATCACTAATCTAGAATAGTTTGAGATCTGTGTTTTGTAACCTCATTGACCATGCAGTCAATTTCAGCCCAGTTGTTACTTTCAAATGAAAATATTTAGGAGATGGGTTAATTAACGATAAAAATATTTATCAGCATCTAACAACCTGGCGAATGGTGAGAACTTCTGAAAGATGGCTGTTTTTGCAATGGAGGTAATGTCACGGTTCTCACCTGATAGACAGACGGCAAGACGTGGTCACTCTTGGAGTTCCCAACAGGGGACTTGAACCGGGGATCTTCTCAGTCCTGGTCCTGCTTTCTACCTCTGAGCCACAGCAGCTATTTACAGTGAAGACTGATTCCAGTCCTGTTCATCCTGACATGGCTACTACTCTGGGGGCTGCACCTTGACTTGGCTGTGTTTCACCTGACTCTGATCAGTCATCAGCAGGGTATTTAAACCCAGCCTCGCCCTGTGCTCAGTGTCAAGTCTTTGATCCTGTTTGTTCCAGTGTTCCTGTTTCATCGCTTCGCATTATTGATCCCGGCTTCCTGACTCGTTTATTCTGACTTCTGGCATCCCTTGTCTTCGGCTACTCCTCGTTGTTCCTGTCCTCTGGCATCCTTTGACCTCGGCTATCCCTCGACCATCCTGCTGGTTCAGTCCTTGCCTGTCCTGCGTATTGGTACTGCATCCTGCACAGCCCCCGTACACAGACCCACAGGCCAGGTGAATTCTTACCTGACCACCTCGGCCTGTGGCTATCTGCAAGGGTGAGCATCATATCTGCGCTACAGACTCCCAACTCAGGTAAGACCCTGACATAAGACTTGACCATTATGGAGTCCGCAGAGATGTGCTCACCCTCGACCCAGCGTGTGTCCAGCCTGGCCCAGACTGTTTCGGAGCTGCAGCAAGAAATTTTATTCCTTAAAGGCGCAGTACATCCAGCCCCGGAACCAGCTTTTCCTGAACCGTTTGTCATCATGCCCGACCGATTTGATGGTAGCCGCACATCCTTTCAGTCTTTCAAGATGGATTGTGAGGTGTTGTTTTCTTTAAAGCCTCGAACATATGCCACAGATTTTATCAAGGTCCGAGCGGCTATCAACCTGTTGTCTGGACGCATCAAAGTTTGGGCTCACCAAATGTTGCAGACGAAGAGTCCTGTCCTGGTCAGCTGGGAATCCTTTAGTACTGCTATGGGCTCACAATGTAAGACCACTGTGGCCAAGTCAGCTCCACGTACTAAAAAATCTCAGATTCTTCCTAACCAAGTAACCGAGTACCACCACTACGCCCCAGAGATGCCTCCTTATGTTCCAGCTTCCAGGAAATCTCCAGAGGTATCCGGTGTTCCACTTGACCCTGTGGAACCTATGCAATTAGGACTTGTCCACTGCAAAGTGACACCTAAGGAAAGAGACCGAAGGAGAAGCTATGGCCTGTGTTACTACTGTGGAGAAAAAGGGCATTTCATCACGCTTTGTCCTGTTCGCCCTCCTAGACCTCCAGCTCTCCGACTTGGTACTAGTTTCCTTCGCCCTGTGTACACCGCATACCAGCCTAAAAAGCCAAATAGAAGCCGTTGTGCTTGCACATGCTTGGCCTCCGCGAGAAAACCTCCATCCCCTGCTCCAGAACCTCCTGCATCTACTCCCGAAGTTGCTTCCTGTGATACCACCACTACTTCCTGCCCGCCCGAAGAGGTTTTACCTGTGGATTGTGCCGTTGCTTCTAATGGCACTATAGTCCGTAAAGAAGACCTTGAAATGTTCGAAAAAGCATTGTTAGCTGCGAACACTGCTCCTGCCAAAGTTTTGGAAGTGCTTGCCACCTGTACCCGGAACCTAAAAGACCTGGACAATTCTCCAGCCGTACCAGAAGCTGGTACTGCGGACTCCCAAGCTGTAAAAGGAATTCTTGCTGGGGAGTTTGACTATGGGGACTCACTGGATTCAGATAGTGACCCTGGAGAGGTGTACTATGCTGACAATGAACCCATTCACGCCCGGAGGTCGTTTTTAAAGGGGGGGGTACAGTCACGGTTCTCACCTGATAGACAGACGGCAAGACGTGGTCGCTCTTGGAGTTCCCAACAGGGGACTTGAACCGGGGATCTTCTCAGTCCTGGTCCTGCTTTCTACCTCTGAGCCACAGCAGCTATTTACAGTGAAGACTGATTCCAATCCTGTTCATCCTGACATGGCTACTACTCTGGGGGCTGCACCTTGACTTGGCTGTGTTTCACCTGACTCTGATCAGTCATCAGCAGGGTATTTAAACCCAGCCTCGCCCTGTGCTCAGTGTCAAGTCTTTGATCCTGTTTGTTCCAGTGTTCCTGTTTCATCGCTTCGCATTATTGACCCCGGCTTCCTGACTCGTTTATTCTGACTTCTGGCATCCCTTGACTTCGGCTACTCCTCGTTGTTCCTGTCCTCTGGCATCCTTTGACCTCGGCTATCCCTCGACCATCCTGCTGGTTCAGTCCTTGCCTGTCCTGCGTATTGGTACTGCATCCTGCACAGCCCCCGTGCACAGACCCACAGGCCAGGTGAATTCTTACCTGACCACCTCGGCCTGTGGCTATCTGCAAGGGTGAGCATCATATCTGCGCTACAGACTCCCAACTCAGGTAAGACCCTGACAGGTAAATAAAATCAGTTCAGAAATGTGAATGTTTCTTTTAACTGTATTAACATTTTTTCCTCAGATAGATGCTTCATTTTGTTTTGATGGTAGCCACCACTGACTTACGTTTTTATCTTTGAGACAGCATCACTGATCTTCTCTAACCTCGGAAAAAAAAACAAGGCATCGGGTACCTGTCCACAATAAATTGTTTTCTTTAGCATTATTGTCTTCTTATGTGTAATTAAAACTCAGATGGCACTGCAAAGAGTTTAATGAAGAGTTTGTAGAAGTCATTTTGTTTGATATTGTATTAGAATTGAAGAATACATGATAAAACGAGCTCTAAACAGGTATGTTTTATAACTTTGAAGAACCTATTGCATGTGTTCTTGCATTAACAAGACAATTTATTTACACCTTTATCCTTTCATGTACAATGTGAGCAGAAAAAAGCAGATCAGTATCGATATTTCACGGGTCACACAAAAGTGTGTGAAAAATAGTTCATTCATTCCCTCCAATCAATTTTATGAAGTTGTGAGTAAAGAAAAAGGTAAAAAAAATTACGGGAGCTAATTGGAGAGAAGAAGTGAGATTTGTTTTGTGAAGTGAATACTGTAACCTGACAAACATCTGGATGTATCTGTTACTCTCAGCGGGAATTCTAAAATAGAGAAAAAAAGGAAAGAGAGAATGTAATTGGCAATTAAATGCATAAACATAATTCATGATGATTAAACCAGCTATGAGGACATAACAACGCTGAACATAAATAGTAGGCACTTTGTAATTGCTAGGATGTTATGCCATAAATGTTCATTTAGATTGATACATTCCATCTAAGTTGAGTTTTAGTTCAACTTTATACAAAGGCACATAATACAAAGACAACACTTACTATTTTGTTTAGATCTGTACTAAGTTCTAATTCAATTTTTTTTTAAATTACAACAAAAATTTAAGATGTCTACGTGAGTAAATATCTGGGTACACTGTATGCATTTAGAAATGACAGGGCTGTTACTCTGAGAGACTTCTAATTTTACACAGATTGTAGAGACCAACAGAAAAAAAGAGATACAAAGAGGTGGTTAATACTGCATTAGGCCTGGTCTTAAGAAGATCACACTTCCTGGCCGATTGATGGCAGCATCACAATTAGGTAGCTCCTCCCTTTTGGCTAACAGGACAGGAAATATAAACTATAAAAGGAACCTATTCTGAGTTGGTTCCCAGTCTTTTTTTATGTTCTTTTGGCTACTGGACATTGCCAATAGCATCCAATAGCATCCAATAGCAACTTCTGAAGATTATCCTTTTCAGGACCTGAAAGAAGGCCTGTTAAGGTTTTAGAATGCCTAGGTAAACATACAGCCAGACAAGTGGATACAATCAGTCCTTTCAGTAGGATACAGATTGGAATTTTGCAATTTTCCAAGAAAAGTTTTTTTCATTCAGTCATGCATTCCAGTATACCCAGCAAAATAAGAGCATTAATAGAAGATCTACAGAAACTCTTGAAGAATGGATCCATGAGAAAGGCTCCTAAAACAGAGCAGTCCATGAGAATGTATTCACCACTGTTCCTGGATCCCAAGACTTCCAGTGAATGGAGACCAAATTTGGACCTCAGTATAATCAACAGAATGCTGGATGTGAAGAAATTCAGAATGGAATCTCTCAGGTCTTTCACACAGGCAATTTATCAAGGAGACTGGTTTGTATTGGCAGACCTGAGAGATGCCTATTTCCACATTTATATATTGGAAAGACATCAGCGTTTTCTGAGTTTTGCAATCCTGAATGATAATTTCTAATTTTGCGGTCTCCCCTTTGGACTAAGTACAAGGTTCTTCTTACTCTGCTTACATAAGAACTCTGGGCATTCACAAAAGATTTGTATGTATTGTTAACTTTGCAAATAGTCAACTTGTCCGAGGCGCCTTCTTAAACACAATTAACAACTCGATATTTCATTTCAGAAGATCGGAGAGAGAGAGAATAATCTATTTTGAGACTTATTATTCGTTTATGTGCACCTACTGTGTACTTTTACAAAGAGAGAGACAAATTTTGACATCCATCTCTTGTTTTTTTACACATATTATGGACTATTTTGTGGCTCTCTCTGATTCTGGAGAGATTTGCCACTGTGAGGAATTATACTCATATGAGATCATCACGGCTGCCAGATCTATATTACGGATGCTGCTATTGTTCCATAGTTCTAATGCTCACATTCCCATTGAAAATGATTTAGGTAGTGGACAGAGGTAATCTTGGACACTCTGATTGGTCTGCGGCTACAGATCC